TTTGGATAACTGTGTAAATAGCTCATCATGTGAGAGTTCTGATGCTGCGATAGATGCTTGCTGTATACTGTTATGGTTTAGAGATGAAGGACCTTCCGAGGACCTTCCCATGTGTTATAGGCTTGATGGCCAGATGATGGACTTCAGAAAGTGATTGGATCATAAGAACGCTAATCCTGTAAGTGGGTTAGTGTATTTATGCAGTCATGAGTTAATGACATTACTGGGTATTTACTTGGAAAAAGCAGTTCACTATAGAAATGTCCTAGAAGGGTGTAGCTTGTCTCTTCATTTTCTTTTTTCTTTTCTTTGTGGCCATCGCGATGTGAGCAGATTTTCTTGGCTGTACTTTCCACAATGGTGCTACATCCTCTTCACAGACTGAATACAAACTGATCAGCATATACATTAAGTCACAGAGAAACCTTAGCTGGTCTCTTGGCTTTAGAGGTGTGTAGCTCCATGATCAAGGTTTATTCATTGCTTGGGGGAGTGTATCATCACAGGAACTCTTTATATAGCAAAATATTTGTCATTGACCAGGATACAAATAGAGAAAAGAGGGAACTGGAGTCCCACCCCTTTCAGGTTCACTTGAAGATCTCAGTTATCTAAGATCTCTCTATGTAGCTCCCTTGAAGGTTCTAGCAATTCTCAATAATGCTATGGACTACAGGTGGAACTATTAACACAGAGACCTGTGTGCAAGATTTAGCCAAAACATGACTATTTATAAACCGCTTTTCTTTATCCATTCATTTGATCTTTACTTTTGCCACTTTACAAGCTACAAAGAAATATTAATTTTGTATTTTTGGTAGGGATGCATATTTATAATATAGCCCTTTATATACTATGAAAGGTTTTTGTAAGAATGAGTATGCATGTATAAGTGCATGTGTGTGTGTGCGTGCGCGCGTGCACAGGCATGTAGCTCTTAGAAACACAGTTTGCCTTCTGATATTGGCTGGAAGTCTTACTGCTTTTAAAACTATACGCTAGAGATAATAATATCTTCTCTATAGACTTATTGCTAGCTTTAAATAACATAAGACAAGTAGAGTGCTTGGCAAGATGCCTAGCATATAAAAAGTCTCATTAAATATCACAGAGCACTTCCCTGTGAAATAGAGTCACTCACTCTAGTACTGCAAAGTAGCAGAAAACAAAAGTGTGAAGTGATAAACATTGCTTCCGGTACTGAAAACAGTATTTGTGGTAGTTAATTTTGAGGCAGCTTCTTTGTGAGCTTATATAAAGTATAGGATGGTGCTGAGTTCTTTCTTGCTTTGTCCTGTTAATGAAGGAATGGGAAAATATCTACTGGGGACAATAGAGTGCTATCCCCTGAGAGCTGCAGATGCCCTCACCAGAGCAGATATGACTGACTGTAAGTGACCCCAAGACGGTGTCTATTGACTCTTACTGTTGCATCATAAGGGGAGGGGTGAGGAGTTATTAATCCTCCCTTGAATGCCCAACTGGTTCCTCCTGCTCCTCCCAACCACCTGCATGTGATTCTGCACTAGTGGCACAGGACAGCCATACAGTCACAGGGGTACCAGAATACATACAGGGTATAAGGTGGCCTGAAGTGGAAAGGCCATCAGTCCAACTGTGAGGAAGCCATCACAACACACACGGGGGTGAAACCATCTGTGCTCCTCTAAGTCAACTCTTACCTGTGCTCTGCAGGCAAGCCCAGTAACCTCATGGTTTTGCCGAGTTATGCATCAGTGAAATTATTGTTTGTGGGGAGTGGGTGAAGTCTTGAGTGAATGTGTGTTGAAGTCTTGAATGTGTGTTGAAGTCTTGACACTGCACAGCTGTGTCAAGAATCCCAGGGTCTTTGACCCATGGGAATGCAAAGCCTTCCACTGGTCAGGTCTAGGGAACTGGAAAAGGCTTCCTCTGTTCCATTTATGAGTGTTTATGGATGGCTGGCAATGTGTGGAGAAATTATCAACCATAGCTTCCTCATCTGGATAACTGCAGCCTGGGGCTACCCCTACAGAGACTCCTTCCAAGATTAGGTCAACCTACCTCCTCCTTTAGCTGTATACAGAGACCTGCATCATCCTTCAGCTGGATACAGAGACCTACATCTCAATTCAGATGTATAAAATAAATGTGAGGGATGTCTGGGTTGTTGCCTCAGCCATTGGTATTTTCTAACAGAGGAACACAGCTCACCCAGTGTCAGCATTTCTTTATGTATGTCCGTGTGTCTGTCCTTTCTTCATTTCTTTGTTCTCCTATTTACATCAGTCCCTGTAATTGTGTAGAGCATGGCAAATGGGATTTGCCAAAGTGGGTGTCTGCATTCTGAGATTTCTCCAGTTCTTTGAACATAGGATTCCTGTACACTCTCAGAGGTGCTGCAGTGGACACCAGATTCTCTTACCATCTATGGACTAGTTACTGGCTTGGTAGGGAATGGATAAAGTTGCTCCACTTACCCACCTTGGATTATCAAACTTTCCACACAATACTTTGCATTACAGATGAGGCAATCTGAGATATCAGAATGGTGTGTGTTTTTAAAAATGACTTCAAACCTTGAGCAGTGTATACTGTGTCTTTTACCTCTGCCACGGTTAGCTAAACTGCTTTGATGTGGTGCCTCTAGAAGATGGGAATTTGAGAAAAGACTTTTTTCTTATATTTTTATGTTCATTGTACTGACATAATCTTCAAGATGGGCCCCTTGTGTGTGCATCTGTCTCTATTTGAAATATGTGCTTTATATCATTCGTCTATCTGTGGTTTACCACTATTTTTGTAAATGTCTAATGCTTGTCTATTCTTCCCTGTCCCTGCTGATGCCTTGTTCCTTATCCAGCATTGACTCCCTGACTCCCTGGTGATGGTCCCCTGCAAACATGTGATGTGGGATTTCTTTACTTCTCTTCCCTTACCATCATCACCGGATTTGTTTCAGAGGCTGACAGTGGGCCTGCCTCTCTTAGCAATTAAGTTATCTCAAGTACACAGATGCAATGACTGTAGTGTCTGTGAATCAATAGTTTACATTTCCCGTTTCTGGGGCTTGAGGAAAAAAAAAGACACTTTGCAACAATAGGAAATGAGTTCTGCTGATCTGGCAGGTAATCAGCACTGTAGAGAAAAATCCAGTGTGAAAGCTGTTGGGAACTCAGAAGTAAGTGGAAGAGGAAACTTAAGGTTGGAATAGCTGAAATGAAAGTAAGAGCAAATAAGACCTTTTAGGAGTAAAATGAAAATGGAGAAATATCAAGATAAGTGCATCTTCCGAACCCAGATCAGCCTTGGGTCAGTGAGCATGGGCACGGAGGACAGTCAGAGCTCTCTGTTCCAATTTTAAATCAAAGCTTTATTTTATTTCCCTTGGAGCAAAATTTTGTTCCTTAATAGCACTATTTCCAAAACATAACTTTAGGAAAAATTTGCTCTTGATTAATATTTTTATGTATGAGGAAAATTTCCTATTAGAGGTGAAATTACTGGTGTTATTGGCCTTGAGAGGATCTTCCAAAGCCCAAAGATTTAAAGTCTTAGCAAATGGATGCTGTGAAGAAGGTTGCACATGACCTGGAAGACTAAGGAACCACGTTCAGAGTCCTCTGACCTCAAGTCATAACAACTGGCTGACTTAAGCAATCGTCCCTGAGTCAGCTCTGTTGGTCTTCTGAATGATGACAGGCATGCTTTAATCTGTTCTTATTATTGCTACCTGCTGAAGAGGACGTGTCAGTTTGTACAGAACTTGCTCCAAAGCTCCGCTGTCTGAATCTATGAAGTCATAATTACACGTTTAGTAGTTCACATTGATGACCCTGAAAGATTAGTAGGGAGAGGGAAAGTAGTCAATAAATCAGACATTCTGAGAATGGCAGGCTGCTTGAGAAGGCGGTCCTAGTCCTTGGCACTTTGGAGTTGACACAGAGAACTGGAAAACAGCAAAACTACAGGCTGTTCATAGGGTGCTTAAAGTGAAGTCTAAAAATGAGTGAAGATACATCAGAAATGAATATAAAAGGAGGAAATGGGGGAGAGGAAGTTATTGAAAGACAGCGTGAATAGATATTGGAAGTGTGAGCTGTATTCTCTATTTTGCACAGCATGAGACCCTGAGTGACAGAACTAAGAAGTTTAAAGGGATCTGTGCCCACTGAAAACAGCAAATAGTGATTCTGGAAAACTGAGGCTTGCAGTTACAAAAACCAAAATACAATATGAGCTGCCATGACATTTAACTGACAGTGATTTGGGAATTTTAATTGACCCTTAGTGAGAATTGTTCCTTTAGGATGTAAGTCAGTGTCGAGGAGGACTGAGAGCTAATTACAGCAGGGCACAGAATTGGATTTAGAACCTGAATATTCAGGTTGGGATGAAAGTCTTACTAAATTCTGACTATATATTCCCTTTAGAATAGCTAACTAACATGTTAGAGTCTTAGTTTCCTCAAGTATAAATGTGATGTCTTTCATACTTTTCAAGCTTGCTATTATAATATAATACATATGATGTATGTGTATTGTATGTTATATATAAAGTTAGATATATACACATATAAAATTATATATATATGTGTGCGTGTGTGTGTGTGTGTATACAGGCTAGAATTTGCAGATGGGAGTGAATGATGTATTGCTTTCTCTCTTGAATTTAGTTCATCTCTTTTAATTAATTGTACTTAACAGATCTATCCATCTTTCTGAAAATTTTATAATTTTAAGTTTCTTTGACTCACAGCAAAATTACATTGTGCACACGTCGCACATTTTCTTTTTTTTCAGTTAATACTGATTATTTTCAATGTGAAAAAGACTAAGTTGAGTTTTAAAGCAAACAAGCCATAACAATTTGGCACTATTTCAATAATGAAGTGTCCATAATATGGTATTAGTTCAAAGATCTAAGCAAATCTCAAAGACGGTAGATTAGTAATTAGAACATCATGCAATGGTGATTTTAGCAAGAAACTAAACAGGTAAAAGAAGCATCTTATTACATTATAAATTCGAGTATGCAATTATAATTTACAAATTATAAAAATCTTCCCTTTTTACAGCCAGTTGTTTTGAATAGCTACATGAATGCGTAGTCAACAAGCCAAATAAACAAACACATCTACCCAAGTTACATCCCAGAATACCTAAGTAAACTGAAGACATTATTCAGATGAGTAAGTTCTATTCATTTTCGTCATCTGGGTGATCAGGTTGCAAAGGACATGCTTTTCTCTTTGATGTTCCTAAGCCACTGCATCCTGCTTCCTCAGGAAACTGGTTCTCTTTCTCACGATCTTTAGGAGACAGCCTGAAGAATTCTCCAGTTGCCTTTTTGCCACTTTGGAGTTGGGCGCACACAAACTGGATTCCCTCCTGCATACTTATTTTCAGCTTTTCTCGACGAACACGATGAAGAATTGGTGACAAAGGTGGAGGAGCCAAGCACCTTCCTGGGAGCTCGAGAAGCCACCACTTTTCTGTAGGCTCCCGGGACGCAGTTTGCTTTGGTCTGCACCATGTTCACACAAGAAGAGACAATTCGCACCAACACCCCAGCTGCGGATGTCTTAACTGAACAAGAACCCGCACATTTTCATTATTTGTTCATCAGTTAATAGACATTCCCTTATTGTTGTAAATAGAACAGCAATATACATGGACATGCAAGTGTATTTGCAGGATATGGAGTCATTTGGACATATGCCCAGACATAGTTTGAGTTCAGGTAATAGAAGGAATATTTCTTTTTTTTAAGTTGGTTTTTATTGAGCTATACATTTTTCTCTGCTCCCCTCTCTTCTTATCTTTCTGTGTCTGAGTGACCTCACTCAATATGATGTTTTCTAGCTCCATTCATTTGCCTGCAAATCTCGAGATGTTATTATTCTTTTCTGCTGTGTAGTACTCCATTGTGTAAATGTACCACATTTTCCTTATTCATTCTTTAGTCGGGGGGCATTTAGGTTGTTTCCAGGGTCTGGTTATGACAAACATTGCTGTTATAAACATAGTTGAGTACATGTGCTTTGGCACCATTGAGTATCCTTTGGCTATATACCCAAAAGTGATACTGCTGGGTCCTGAGGAAGGTTGTTTCCTAATTTCCTGAGAAATTGCCATACTGATATCCGAAGGGGCTGTACCAGCTTGCACTCCCACCATCAATGCAGGAATGTTTCCTTTAGCCCACAGCCTCTCCAGCATAAGTTGTCATCAATGTTTTTGATCTTGGCCATTCTTACAGGTGTAAGGTGGAATCTCAGATTTGTTTTGATTTGCATTTCTCTGATGGCTAAGCATGTTGAACATTTCCTTAAATGTCTTTCAGCCATTTTAGATTCTTCTGTTGAGAGTTCTCTGTTTAGATTTGTACCCCATTTTTTTTTTTACTGAATTATTTGTTCTTCTGATGACCAATTTTTTGAGTTCTTTGTATATTTTGGAGATCAGCCCTCTGTGTGATGTGGGGTTGGCAAAGATCTTTTCCCATTCTGTAGGTTGCCATTTTGTCTTATTGACTGTGTTCTTTGCTTTACAGAAGTTTTTCAGTTTTAGGAGGTCCCATTTATTGTTTCTCTCAGTGTCTGTGCTGCTGGGGTTATATTTAGGAAGTGGTCTCCTGTGTCAATGTGTTCAAGTGTACTTCCCACTTTCTCTTCTATGAGGTTCAGTGTGGCTGGCTTTATGTTGAGGTCTTTGATCCATTTGGACTTGAGTTTTGTGTGTGGTGATAGATATGGGTCTATTTTCATTCTTCTACATGTTGATATTCATTTATACCAGCACCAATTGTTAAATATGCTTTTTTCCATTTTCCATTTTTTGCTTCTTTATCAAAAATCAGTTGTTCGTAGGTGTGTGGATTAATATCTGGGTTTTTGATTCGGTTCCATTGGTCCTCCTGTCTGTTTTCATGCCAATATTAGGCTGTTTTCAGTACTATAATTATGTAGTAGAGTTTGAAGTCAGGGATTGTGATGCCTCCAGAATTTTTTTTTTCGTACAGGATTGTTTTGGCTATCCTGGGTTTTTTGTTTTTTGCCCTGGAAGGAATATTTTCAACTGTTTTCCTTCTCTATAGGATACTTTGGCTACTCATGGTCTTTTGTGATTCCATATAAAACCTGGATTTTTTCTGGTTTTCTAAAGAATAGGATCAGAATTTTGCTGGCAGTTATGTTGAATCTGTATATTAGTTTTGTTAATATAGCCACTTACACGATATTAATTCTACTAGGAACATGCAAAGTCTTTCTGTTGTTAAGTGTTGGATTGAGTTTTTCAATGTCTGGTAACTCTTTGCTTACTTGGTTAGGTTTATTCCAGTGCACTTGTTGAGCTCTCACAGATGACCTTTTATCTCCTCTTTCTTTTATTCATTGTTAATTGTTGCATGATATGAAAGCTGCTTCATATACAAAATCTATTCGTGTTCTACAATTTTATTTAAGTGTTTGTCAGATCTGAAAGCTTTCTGGGAGGCTGTATTTGGCCTTTGAGTACAAAATCACGCCATCTGGAAGTAAGGCATAGTTTGACTTTTTCATTTCGTTTTCATCTTTTATGTTTCCCTTATTTTATTGCCGTGGTTAAGACTTTGACTACCATACTGAATCACAGAGATGAGAATGAGCATCCATGTCTTATTTCTGATTTAAAGGAAGATGCTGATTTTTCATCTTTACTATAATGTTGGCTGCAGTTTGTTGTCTTCAGCTCTATCACTTGAAGGTATGACTCTCTGTTCCTAACAGCCCCAGAACTTTAACCATGAAGGTGTACGAAACGCTATTAGATGAACTTTGCATTTCTTAATTACATGTTTTTTTTTCCTTAAATTTCTTTATATGTTTGTTTGTGTTTACTGATTTGCATATGTTGAGCCAACCTTGTACCTCTATGATGAAGCCAACTTGGTTATGATGCATGATCTTAATGTGTTCTTGAATACTGTTTGCAAGTGTTTTAGTGAGAAAATTTGCATTTATATTCATCAGGGAAATTGGTCTGTAGTTTTCTTTTTTTGTTGTCTTTATCTGCTTTTAGTATCAGGATAAAACTGGCTTTCAAGAATGAATTTTATGGCATTTTTCCTTTCTATCTTGTGAAACAAATTGGTAACTGTTGGCATTAAATATTCCTTAAAAGTTTGATGGAATTCTGCAGTGAATCTGTGATCCATGCCTTTATATGTGAGGAAACTTTTGATTATAACTTCAGTTTCATCATTTGTAATAGGTCTGTTTCAGCTTTTCATATCCTTTGACCTTAATTTTGTTAAGTCATGTGCATTTAGGAGTTTACCAGTTTCTTCTAGGTTTTAAAGCTTTTTGGAGTTTCAGTGTTCAGAGTATTCTCTAGTGGTGTTCTAGATTTCTTTGGAGTCTGTTGTGTCTTGAAGGTTTTTCTCTTGCCATGTCTATTCGGGTCCTAAATAACTCATGTTCAGAGTTTATTTCATTCTCTAGGTTCAGGAAGTTTTCTACTACAATTTCATTAAATAGTCTATTTCTTTGTCTTCATCTTTGTTCCTTTTTTTTTTTTTATCAGCGAGTTCTCAAGTTTGGTAATTTGAAAGTATTCCAAAATTCTTAGAAATGTTGGTTTATTATTTTCTCTACATAAGGTTGTTTTTATTATTGTCACTACCCACATTTTCGCTTTTTTCAGTGTTTTAGTTCTCTTGATGATTTTTTCCCTCCATATTTTGAAATTTCTCCTCCAGTTTACCAATTCATTTACTTTGGAGACTGCCTTGTGGAGGTCTTAGATTCATTCCCATGGCTTGTATATATGTTCTTTATATGGCCATTGATTTTCTTGAAAGTATACAACTGTACATTCTTTCTCGGATATTTCGTCCATTCCAGTAACTTTGGATTCCACCGTGGGATAGATGGAGATGGGCTGTGACTAGAATTAGTGTCACACTCCATGTTTTTCCTCATCATATTTTACATGTCTGCTGGAATCTGTTTTTCTTCTAGTTTTAACTTCCCTCCTTTATGACATTGGTTATTCTGTTTTCTTTGAGTCTTCCAGAAATGTATTTGCATGGCTTTCAGATATGAAAACTAATGAATCTTGTTGTTGATTCCTGGGTGGGACCACTGAGATGATTTGGTCTTTAGTGGGGTGACAGCAGAACAGTTGACAGGAACACATACTGAGCACCAGGGTGTAGGATGGTCACAACCCTTATCAGTTGCTGAACTACATAAACTACCTGGAAGCTATAGTTGGAACCCTGGTCTTGCAGTGAACTCTGAGAATAGTGGAGCATGTGCCCTTGTTTTGGAAGGACTCCTAGGACTACTGAAATAATATCTTCCATTTATTTGTGTAATTGGAATTTTCTTTGGGTCACCATCCAGCTCCCAAATAAAGACATGGAGACATTGTTATTTATGAATGCTCGGCCTTAGCTTAGGCATGTACCACTGGCTCTTTTAATTTTATTTAACCTGTTTCTATTCCTCTATGTTTCGTCTCAGAGCTTTTTGCCTTTCTTCTGTTCTGTATGTTTTACTTTCTTGCTTCCTCCATTTATGTTTGACTTGCTCCTGGTGTTTCCTTGTCTTCTCTTTTTCTTTCTTGTTCTTTACTCAAATTCCTCCTCCTACTTACTCTCCTTGCCTAGAAGTCCCACCTATACCTCCTTTTTTATTATTGGCTGTTCAACTTTCTATTAGACCCATTAGTTGTCTGAGGCAGACAAAGTAAAACAACAACACATTTTTACATAATTAAACAAATATAATACATCTTTACCTAGTTAAAAAATATTTCCCAACATAAACAAATGAAACTCGTCTTTACATAGTTAAACAAATTAAACACATCTTTGCGTAGTTAAAAAACATTCTGCAACATTGGTGGGTTCTGCAAGTCAAAATTCAATTCTTCCACTGCCCTGAAGATCCTGAATTATACACATTGGTCTTGTGGCAAACCTCAGGACTGTTGGAACCAAAACTCTGGTCCTGTACTGATATCTGTATGCCGATTCCTCAACAAACCCAGGTACTGTGAATGGATCTTTTACATATTAAATTATTTGGTTACTTTTTCCCTTTAAGTTGTAAGAATTGTGATCATTGTAAGAGTGGCACAGATGACGACTGTTATTAAAGTTGCACGTCTGTTCTTGGTTAGTAGATGATTTAAAGACTCTCCAGTAGGACATTCCACAGCAATAGAACTGACTCATCATTTACTGCGGTTATGTCCCAGCATTCACTCTGATATGAGCACCATCAATCACACATGACTAATTAGCTTGTGAATGTGATTATTTACTTTTAACATATCCATATGTGAAGAGTACCTACCTTGTTTGTCAGTGACTAGCTAGAGCATGTTGAGATTAATTTATCAAAATAAAATAAAATAAAAGGTAAATTACAACCTCATAGATAATGTCCCAATACCTGAAATGCAGTTTGAGAATCAATATTTGTTGATAATATTTTGATCAATTCTAGGATCTATGTATAACAATTTTTATACATTATCCACGTACTAAGTATAGTTTTGGATATCTGGAAACTTTGATTCAAGAACAAAACTGACTTACTTAA